CCTCCCCCTCTCCCCCCCACCCCGCCCTTGCTGCTCCTCTGACCAGCAATGGAGCCAGCAGAGAGTTACATAGCATTTCCTTTCACAGAAGGAAGTTACACAGCATTTATCAGTCCATCAGCAAAACAAAAGCTTCTCTCATTAGTTCAAGCTCTTCTTAAAGAACTTTTTCCAAGAAAGGAATGGAGGGATATTACCTGTTGATTGGCTTGAAAAGGCCCTAAGTGGATACTATCCTGTCTGCCTGACAAAGAAACCTCTCAGCATTAGCTAGCTGACCACATGCTGGCTACGGTCCCTGCTGTGGGAGAGAGGAGGGAGGAATCCCTGCTTGAGCAGTGAGTTGGGGTTGTGGGGAGTCAGGCAGACGCTGCTGTGCCTACAAGTTTCTGCCAGAGCTCCAGCCAGGGAGCAGAAGGGAGGGGCCAGCCCAGCCCTCTGGAGCAGAGAGCCCCACCCAGGGCTGCAAAGCATCTGGGATGCTGGGGGACTCTGGTTTAAGTTAAACCAGGAAGGGGTAAGGGACAGACATTGAATAAACTGGTTTGACCCAAATCAGTTAAGTCTGATACTACATTCAACCAAGTTTCTCTCAAACCAGTTCAGCCATTTTCAAACTGGTTTATATGTACTGCATGTCTGTTCTGTAATAGGTTTAAACCAGTTTCTGATCACATAAACTGGTTGGTGTGTAATGTCTGTCCCTAGCCCTCAGGACAAAACTGTTAATTTCACAGCACAGAGGCTGCTAAATAAAAAAAGTATAATAAAAACTGTAACAGGGGGCCTTCTCCAGGCTGTGGGGTGAAGGAGGAATGCGGTATCTAAAGTGCCAGCGTTTGTCGTCTTTACTTTGAGCTCTACTGTCCTAAGCTGGAAGCGAAATACATATTGCTATTCAAGCTCTCCAGGCAAAGCAGATGTCGTGACAACATACAGCCCTAACAACATGGCTTTCTTGATGGAAAACCCTTCAGTTAGATCTTTTGTTCTTCCGACTGGTTCTTGCTGGCGGTGATAGAGGTGGCTGAGGGAAAACTGTTCCACTAGAGTAGGTTTGCAAGATCAATTTATCAAGTGTTGTGCATGTATGTAAACACATACACATGGACTCTATTTTATCGAAATATAAATATAGTCTCTATAAAACATCTGTATTTATATATCAAATATATTCTCTATAACACATTTCCATATTATTTGGTTGATAATCTTTTTATTTTCTTGGGTGATCATTTTTTTTTTTTTAGAATGAATGTTTCATTATGTAACCTGGCCTCCTAACCTGCTTGCCGCACCTATCTGCTTCCACCTATCTGCTCATCTTTATTGATCACAAAGGAAGAATAATTTATTTACTCAAGATAAGGAAGTGGTTGGTTGTTGATTTATGCCATCAGCTCCTTAGTACAAGTGATAAGCATCATCCTCTACCTCTTTTTCTGGTCATGCCTTCATCTAGTAAACAGTACTACCTGTCATATGTGATATGCCAGATTATTGGTACTCACTTGTATCTCTAATTTGCTGCCAGCAAGAATTTATACATTATTTCTATTGCAGTGACATCTACAGGCTCCAAATGAGGTCAGGCTCCTATTCCAATGCACCGTGCAGGTGCATATAGCTAGAGAGTATCCCTGCTCTAAACAGTTAATGGCTGGGATTTTCAAAGAAGTCAGCCTTTGGGTGCTTAATCCCTTTTTGTACCTTGGAAAGTCTTCCTCTGGACAGACAAGGGCATGGAGACATAGAGGAATGATGTCACTTGTCCCAAATCACAAAGCAAATGAGCAAGTTTAAATTCAGATCTCCTGATTGCCGGACCACTGCCCAGTTACCACGCTGCTTCTCCTACAGGTGTATTGTCCTTTTAATGTGCTGACTATAAAGCGGGTTCAGATACAGATCAGCGCCCTACACTGAGGGCAAACTTCAATCAGTATCCTGCTGTCCTGAGAACACATCTTGGGTTTATTTGATTTAAAGTCAAAGGCTGATTCTCAATTTTTTCCAAGTGCTTAAGAATGAGAGGGACCCATGGGCTGAGCAGCAGGACATGCAGCCCAGTATTCTGTCTCTGACTGGGACAGAGCAGATGCTAAGGCAGGGGCGGGCAATTATTTCGGGCGGAGGGCCGCTTACTGAGTTTTGGCAAGCCTTCGAAAGCCACATGACATATATCTCCTGGGGGAGATATAAATATTAATTTTCTAAATTTTTTATGGGTCCCACGGGCCAGATAGAATGGCTTGGCAGGCCGCATCCAGCCCGCGGGCTACATTTTGCCCACCCCTGGACTAGAAGCTGGGGGGTGCTAGGGTTGCCCTCCCCCTTCCCTTCCACAGAGCTGAGCTGAGGAGGCGGATGGCCAGGCCCTGGCAGGATGCTTTGATTAGGGAGAGGTTCTTCCCCCTCTTATCCTCCCCCTCTCCCCCCCACCCCGCCCTTGCTGCTCCTCTGACCAGCAATGGAGCCAGCAGAGAGTTACATAGCATTTCCTTTCACAGAAGGAAGTTACACAGCATTTATCAGTCCATCAGCAAAACAAAAGCTTCTCTCATTAGTTCAAGCTCTTCTTAAAGAACTTTTTCCAAGAAAGGAATGGAGGGATATTACCTGTTGATTGGCTTGAAAAGGCCCTAAGTGGATACTATCCTGTCTGCCTGACAAAGAAACCTCTCAGCATTAGCTAGCTGACCACATGCTGGCTACGGTCCCTGCTGTGGGAGAGAGGAGGGAGGAATCCCTGCTTGAGCAGTGAGTTGGGGTTGTGGGGAGTCAGGCAGACGCTGCTGTGCCTACAAGTTTCTGCCAGAGCTCCAGCCAGGGAGCAGAAGGGAGGGGCCAGCCCAGCCCTCTGGAGCAGAGAGCCCCACCCAGGGCTGCAAAGCATCTGGGATGCTGGGGGACTCTGGTTTAAGTTAAACCAGGAAGGGGTAAGGGACAGACATTGAATAAACTGGTTTGACCCAAATCAGTTAAGTCTGATACTACATTCAACCAAGTTTCTCTCAAACCAGTTCAGCCATTTTCAAACTGGTTTATATGTACTGCATGTCTGTTCTGTAATAGGTTTAAACCAGTTTCTGATCACATAAACTGGTTTGTGTGTAATGTCTGTCCCTAGCCCTCAAGACAAAACTGTTAATTTCACAGCACAGAGGCTGCTAAATAAAAAAAGTATAATAAAAACTGTAACAGGGGGCCTTCTCCAGGCTGATCTCTCTGGGGCCCGCCTCCCTGTTTCTGGGCTAACCACCCGCCTTCTCACCTGCCATGCCTTGTTGGTAATTAGTTCATTGATGTAATTAAGTGGAAGACTGCCCATTTCTTGCCCCAATGCCAGGGGGCACTATCTGTGGCTCCGTTCCTCCCCTACACTGCAGCCCAAGCCTCGCAGATGGCATCCAGATGTTCTTACAATCACCAACCCTATGCTGGGCCCTATAATCCTAATGTTGAACCCCTCTATGATTCCTCCATTCTGGCGGCCTAATCCACCTTCATCCTGGGCAGCATAGCTCCCTGAGCTGCTTCCCCTTCCAGGTGTGGTCCCCCCAGGACCTTTGCCTCACTAGCCTTGGCCCACCTCCAGGCCAGTCAGAACCTGAGGCCCTCAGTTCTTGGGCGTTCCTCGTGGTGGGTCCCTGGCCCTTTGACCCTTCTGGTCCTGGCCCCAGCATTGACGAGTTAGGGGAAGTCCAGACAGGCACGAGTCTATGGCCTCACTCTCTTTCTCTGGGGGTCCACCCTCCAGACCCTACAAAGGGGCAACCCACCCGGTTGTGGGGGCTAAGGGTTATAGCACCCCAACCCACCTTTCACTGAGATGGTAACTGGCCTGGCATTTCCTGAGGGCTCCTGCACCACTGAGAGCCCCACCAGGCCACCCACACCCGGCAGGGTGCAGTTTTAGGTCATACCCACGACCAGGAGCCTCTTGACCATCCCCTACAGTGCCTCCCTTACCTCCAGATGATACCAGCAGCCCTCCAGCCAGGCAATGTTGTTGCCTGGCCTCTCAGCAGCAAAATGCCCTGTTTATATGGGCAGCCCTGAATCTATAATGGCTGGCACCTGCCAGCTGCTGTCTCAGGCCCTTAAAGTGGCAGGCACAAGCAGTGCCCTGCCACAACAACATACATGCTAAAAATCACAAAGTCACATTGGAGTCAATTAACCTTTCCTATTTGTGCCATTTTTACTGGCATCAATCCACTTAACTCTGTCCTCATCACCATTATGCCCATGTTGCAATAGGACCAAAAATCAGCCAGATCTCCCCAGCTGGAGATTCCTTATACATGAGAGATTGTGCAGCTGGGTAGTGAGGTAGCCAACTCTTCCACTAGTATTTTGATGTGTTAGGGGGCATTCTAGAGCAGGATAAAAATATGAAATGCTTTGTATTCCTGCAAATTCTGCTTGGGGGCCCAGTGTAGAACAAGGAAATTCTCAGGTTTCTCTAAATTATAGGCATAGATCTGCCTCCTACACACATCATGCTAAGAATTCAGAAAGCATCTTTTTCTGTTCCTGATTTTTTCTGGATCTTATTTTTCTCAACCTTATTTTTGTTCCAGTTTTTCCTTTTTTTAAATCTCCATTCCAATACCATTTCCTGCAGTTCTCTCCATTGCTTGCTCCATCCTCTCCTCCTTTCTTTCTTAAATTTTCCCCTTAATTTTGGGCAGAAATGCAAAAGATGCAGAACACTTAATGACATACTGAGTGTGTACAACCAAGCATGTTTTTCCAGTAAGGTCCAAGGAAAGTCTATATTAGCAGATGCTATACATTCTACATGCCTTCAGTTATAAGGGATTGCTTTGTGTCTTATAATTCCCCTTATATTTTTTCTTCATATCTTGGCCTTTGCCAGGCAGCAGCAGTAGCAGCAACAGCAACAGTGACAGAGAAACAGGGCTGCAGAATTGACTGGAAAATCTGCAGCAAAATCTTCACATACACTCCATGCCTAGGAATACAGAACTGACCTGGATGCTAGTATTTTCTTTTTTTCTTTTTTTGCAGCCAGCTGCGTGCTCTCTTTGATGTACCTCCCATTAAGAAATAAGGCTTTTTTTTCTAAGTGATCATGTTGAGAAATCTGAAAGAAGAGAAAAAAGGATAGTCTTAGAATTTCATAGTGAAAAGCTGATTGTGTAGATAACATTTTGCCTGGGTGTTTTTTTTTTCTTTATCCTAATCATTTTTTTAAAGGGACAAGATGTAATGTAGGAGTGATTTCATTAAACAGAATGGAAAATGTGTAGGCACAGCAGTAACCACCACTGACTTCTCTATTCTTCTCCCTCCCCCCCAACCCATCTCTGACCCCCCCACAACCTCTCTCATTTAGGACAGACTGTTTCTATCAGATCAATGCATCAAGGGGGACCCCCATGCACAAACGTTCTCAAGGACCCAACATGAAAAAGAACTCCAGTACCTCCCTGGTTGTATTCCTATTTGGATCTTGGAGCCCTCTCTCCTGGGCTGGAGATCTGTGTGGAAGGTGGGCTAGCTGGGAGTAGGTTTGTAAAACCTCACATTAAGTGGAGGTAGAACCTCAGGACAATATATATCACCTCTACTGCATTCAGCACAAGTTATATAAATCAGACAACCCCAGGCAGTCTGTGAATCCCCTTTGAAAGGGAGTCGGTGGCAGAAAGTCAGCTGCAACCAGGGAAAGCCATGCCAAATCAGCAGAGTTTTGATGTGGGTATTGTAGTATATGGTTTCAGTTGAGATTCCCCATCGCATATGAAACAAAGTAGACATATTCTATGGAAAGATCTTCACTGATTTTTTTCCCCCATTGAAACACTTTCCATCAATTTGATTTAGGGAGCAGGTAATCTGAGCCACACTGGGTGTGCCTACATGTGCGCTTTAATGTGCAGTAGCCTATTTTACTGTGCATTAAAGCGGCACATAAAAAAGTGCTATTATGCTAACGCGCATTAAGTGTCACCCAAAAAGCATGTGCTTGAGCTACTATGAATTAGTGCAATATAATGTGCATTAAATTAGTACCTCACAGTGCCTGTACATGAACACAGAGGCTGCTTCAACATGCTGTAATTATAGTACATTGGAGCAGACTATTAATCGAGTCTGGAGTGTGGTAATTACTGTGATCTAGCAGCCTCCTAAGTCTCTTTACTTACAGTGGCTCTTGAAGCTGCTCTAATTAAAGCATTGCTCCCCACACCTGTAGAGCACATGTAAAGGTGCCCTCATATTGGAGGTACTAAGTTTAATGCATGTTAGGAAAAGTGTATTAATGCACTTGTAGATGTGCCCACTGTTCAATAAAAATTTACTCTTTTATAGCACTTTCATTCTGTAAACATTAAGTAAATCTCATAACAATCAGCAAAAGGTATTATCCCCATTATATGGGGGTCTTCTAACTCTCAGAATAATGTGTAGCTTGTGCAAAAAAATTACAGACCAAATTCAATAGATCCCTGTGGTACCAAAGAGAATAGCTGGGAAAGGAAAAGGGGGCAGGCATAGGAAGCAGCGCTCTCATGTTTCTTCTGCCATCTGCTGTCCCTGAAACAGTGGACAGTCAATCTGGCTGCACAACGTGCGAGCAGAATCTGGGAGGAAAGATCTAGGAAGAAAGAATAAGGACCTTACAAGAAGTGTGCTGCAACCAATTGAATCTGAAGTTAAAATGCAACCCTGTGGCTGAAAGGACTTACATGATCCTTTGATGTAAAAGCAAGTGATTGTGATATAGGAGAAAGGAGAGGATACCACTTCCGTACATAGAATTAGTGACACAGTAAAAAGCTTGTTGAAAAATCAGAGGGCTTCAGAGACAAGCTCTGCAAATGATTAGACATCTGAGAAACATGTATTATAGCAAAAGCTTTAACAAGCTCTATTAAATGTATCAAGAAAAAAGGTTAAAACGTAGTCTGAAAGCACATATGTAGGCAGAAAATAATGGATATATTAGGTGGGGTTTAATCTAGTAGACAAAGACAAAAGCTTGAAGTTGAAACTAGAAAAATTCAAATTGGAATCCATTTTTAAGTGAAGTTAATTAACCACTGGAACATATTATCAAGGGAAGTGACAAATTCACTACCAACTAAAGTCTTCAAATCAAAACTAGCCATCTTTCCATAAAATATGCTCTAGTTCAGATGATTAACCAGAAACAGAAATCACTGGTTGAAGTTGAATATTCTACATTATGCAAGAGGTCAGACAAGATGATCACAATGCATACATTATCTTTAAAATCTATATATCATCATCAAGGCATATGAAAATTGTATGGAAGATCTCAGGGTTCCACAGGTATTTGGGGCTGAAAAACATTTTATTCATTCCACACCCTGAAAAACCAAACTTAAGCAGAAAAAAATGAAGAAACAATATGGTGAAACCTTCATAAGCAGGGGCTATGTGGATTTTCTAAGTGGATTTTTCCTCTCCTGGCCCTTTTCACATAGGGTTATGATCTGGACCTTTTGTCTTCCTAAAATATGAAATAAGTAGAAATTTCCTGATGATGTGTCTGTCTCATATCCCGTCTTTTCAGCTTCCAGATTCCTTGTGGATTCAAGGTGAAATCATGAACCCTTTTCCACATTAGCAAGTCAATAATATATAAATACTCCTATATGAGTGAACAGAACTACTTAGATGAGCAATTGATTATCAGTGGACAAAGGGGCTGTAATCAAGACCAAAGAATGTGGGAAAGGGCCACTGGTAGATTGGAATAAGCCCACTTATTCGAGCTTGCTGTTTTACAGCAGTTCAATCAGTTTTCTGAGGTTGGGCCCTGATCCAGTTTCTTCAGTAGTGAACAGAAGTTGCTGTTAACATCCATGGAAGTTGAATCAAGTATTAAGACAACCCCCACCCCCCAAAAATGCAAAAAAAACCAAAACAAAAAGGAGATTTATCATCAAATCTATATTTGGATTCATTTCTGGCAAATGGCCTCTCAAGACTAACTGTTACATTTTTAGTAGTCCACAAGGCTTATATAAAGCCAAACTTTTAGCCTTGCCCAAGCTACTTACTTTCCTGGGTACATAGCTAAATATAAAGTGACCCTATGAAAAATGTACATACCAGGTAACTAAAAAGAAAGCAGAAGATAAAGAGAGTGGGACAGAGAGAAAAGTAGGGGTGACTGGAAAAGGAAACAGGCTGCAGTATTTTTGTAAAACCTCAATCTCCTCTATTACAAGATCATCTCCATAAAAAGGTAAAAATAATATAATATAATTGTAACAAAACTAGTTTTACAATTGTGCTATTTTGAGTTCTCCACATTTGCTATGCAGAAAGTATTAAAGCGTTGATAATTATAATGAGGAAAGAATTCTTGTGGGTGATATCTTTTATTGGAATCAATGGCAAGGTTGGGATAGATATAGACATCACACTACTTTTCCTCAGATCTCTACATCGTTGGAATAAGCATAGACAAGTTTTTGGGTATCACAGTATGCTTCCTCAGGTTTCCATCCCAAGAGCTGGAGGAAGGCTACTGTGGGGGACAAAAATTTGTCTATGTCTATCCCAATCATGCAGTTGGTTCAATAAAAGATATCATCCACAAAAATTCTTACCTCATATTTTCTGGGCCACCACAGCAACAACTTCATTTCACCACTTCCAAAACATGGATAATGAGTCACTTTATAATGACCTAGGATAAAGCATTCAGATTCCAATTTTGCATTTTCTTGTACATGTAACAATATCAGATTTTCATACTGCAGGGATGTCATGAATTCACGTTAGTAATTCACACATTTTTACTCAGTGTTCTTTCATTTTAGTTAACATTATAATCAAAAAGTCAATTTTCTTTGTAAACAAATATAGACGTTGCAAATCTAAAATGATTACTAAGGGAAATCCCAAATCATGCTGTGTAAAAATAATTTAAACACTTCCTTATTCCCCATTTCTGAACTAAGCTAATTTAGAAATGATCTTAGAAAGAAGAAGTTGTATTTTTTCCAATGATTTTGTATTCATAACAAATATACACTATATATTGGTATTGTCCAGCAAAAGTATGGAGGACTTCACTGGTTCCGACTGTAATGAAAGGTTTTACCTTGAGCTCTTGTGAACCTTTGTTCGTGGTACAAAAAGCATTGTCCTTCAGAGCTCAGTTTGAAGTTGTTGTTAATTTTGAGGGGGGGCGGGGGGCAGGGTTTTCTTTTGTTTGGTTTTCTTTTTTAACTTGAGAAACTGTCTGATGTTCTGTTCAGGATATGGTGACACCAGTGAAGCTACCAAATGTAAAAGAGGATACTTGGTATTAGAACAGGGGTTGCACACATTCTGTACATTTTTAGGTTTCTATTAGGAACTTGGAGAATAAACCTGATGGATTTTCATAAGCTTCTAAGTGACCTAGAAGCCTAAATTCTATTTTATAAAGGCAAGTTAGACATTTACAACAAGATTCACATGAGTATAGAGGTGCCTAAAGATCAAAATGGGGATTCAAATACCTTTTAAAAAATCTACGTTTAAAAAATAAGATATTTAGGTGCTTTAGAAAATTTTACCCAGAATCCATTCCTCCACCAATGGAAAATGGCTTAAATAGGACTGTGGATTCTTATTCCATTACCTAGATTAACTTTTGTGATTCCTTTGTTTCTATGGATTTATTGCTTCTTTGTTTGTCTCTTCCAGCACTGACCCACTTCCACCACCTCTTCCTACCTCCTTATCTTTCATATTCAAATTTCTCTCTCTCTCTTACACACTGCTTTGTGCACATTCTTTTACAGGATCTGATAAAGTGAGTTTCAGTTCACAAAAGCTTGTGCTCAGTCTGTATATATCTGATTTAGCTAGTCTATGAGTTACATATCCACCCTGTCTTCTACAATGCATTTCCCATTTGGAAGAAAAAATTACATGGCCTAGTAGAGGGATGGGCAATTATTTCAGCTGGTGGGCAACTTAACAAGTTTTGGTGAGTTGTTGAGGGCCACACACACAAAAATCTTTTAAAAGATACAATTTTAACAATGTATAGATAAAAAACAAATCATATGCTAAAAATCAAACATCTACTATAATGCTTTTATTTCAAAA